GGGGGGGTGCATTATGCGTACTTTCAAGGCGCTCTTATGGCCATGTACTGTGGCTTGAAAGCAGTAATTAGATTGAAATGTTGCACTGTACGAGCGTATGCCTTGGGCCTTGGAGAGAACATTGAACGAGACTTCATTTTCGGACTTGCCTGTTTTGCTACGAGGCGGACGGTACCTGTCAATTAGCAAACGCTAGTATAAGTCCGAGTAAAAGACCACATCCAGCAGCTTAATATATGATAATCAACAATAATAATAATTATTATTAAAAAAATTATTGTATTTTTATAGCGCATATCTACGCTCTACAGAATGCTCTATGAGCTTTACAACTTTTAAAAAAACCTCAGCAGACACTAGAAGACTTAAGAAACATTTTCGGCTTCTCAGGAAGCAAACAGTGTAAGCAGCGGATTACACGCTATATACACATTCACACTGACAAGATCTCTGACTGTTTTTAGACTGGGACCCATTCCCAACGGAGTGAAATGAGGAAAATAAGTGTAAAGTGCCTTTCCCAAGGACACAACGTCTGGCTCCTGACGGGATTTGAACCCATTACCTTCCGGTTGCGAATCCGAGTGCCTTACAACTAGGCCACAGACGTCTGTGATGACGTTCACAGTAATTCCAACTGAGTGCCGTCAAGTCACAGTTCGCGGCTACCAAGAGTTACAGGGGGCCGCTATGTAGGACCAGTGCCGAGGAGAGGTCTGTCTGACCCTCCCTTCTCATTTTGCCAGAGAACCACGGACACGTGTATTATGAAGGCTCTAGGATGTATAATTACAAAACCACGTCTCTTGTGTGCGATATGATACATCATTGCCTCGAGCTCTTTTTCAGCAGACCCCTCCCCCGACACACATTTGAAAGACTGCTGATGTGAGGGGTAAAACGATAGCACATTTTCTACAGCCCCGAGGAACTGAAATCGGAGTCCAAAAACTGCATGAATGAACTTCAGTCGTCCTTAACGAAACTCCTGATGGACCTTCCCTTCAGATAAATTTTCCGTAACTTTTTAATGTTTCTTCAATAGCCCCAAGGCTCTTTGGCAGGCATCACTACCCCAGAATTACAAAGTGCTATCTGCTCAGTACCTAGTTTTGCGAAATTGGACGTAACAAATTTTGAGTTTCATATCATGCCAAGGTTTTTCGAATGCAATGTTTTTAATATCTTTATAACAACTCCGAATAATCTTATTATTTTGATAGAGCAGATAGAACATTTTCATTCTCATGATCTTAGGAACTCAAAATGGCCAAAAATGTCAGATAGAACTTCTTAATTCTAAGGTAGTAACACGTCTATTTCTGTACATTGCTAATTAAGGCTTGGGGACGCACAAACATGCTCTCCGTATTTTCAATGTCACCCACTCGTAATTCTTGAGCCACCAGCTCTGCATTACTCAAAGAGGGTTGACAGAATTTCGGCAACACAAGTAGAATAGAGTGAAAAAAGTTCAGGGTAAAGGGAATAGAGTAAAAATAATTGGGAAGGTAGGGCCAGTAAATGACCAAAGAATAAGCAAATCAATTAGCCTCTGTTCATAACTTTCCAAATCTTCTAAAACAATATCCAACCATCTAAACACTGGTACATTCAGGTTGTTTTCAGTTTAAAAAAATTGAATTATTTGAAACTCGTTTTCTACATTTTCCATATCAAACGCCTTTTTACCACGTCCCTGGAAACCTTTCCCCAAATTTGTCCTGGAAAATAATCTCCCTCCCCCCACACATGCTTTGCTTTGTCATATTTTGAGATACCTTAAAGATTTAAAACGTGACATGGAGGGAAGTGAAAGGGCTCTCAGATGGCAGCGCCAGTTTAAAATGTGAAAAAAATAACAACGTGCACGATTTTCACCATAGTTCAGGAAGTCGTCAACTTGGCTAATGGAGCGCCATGTCGACAAAGGCTTTTCAATTATATCAATACCTTAGGCCTACTATATGTATATCCAACTGACACAAAACTGGAATACCAAAAACATTCGAGAGTCCGGGGACAGTAGTAATATA